GAACTCAACATTATCAAGTTGTTGGCTGCAAACAGTATTTTAGTTAAAAGTTATCATAACTTCATTCCTTCTTAGAGACAAATTTATGGAACAACTCTCTTCAAATAGCACTTGACTGTCAAACGTTAAGTTTCATTCTTACCAAATTCATCTAATCTGATCAAATTAACAGTTCATCAAGCGAAATTGGTCATGCTGATGTTGAATAAAATATCCGTGATATACATGAACTTTTGAACAGTTTGTTTTTCTAAATGTGTTTTGGCGTAATTATTTAGAACTGTTTGTGAATTTTACTACTGCTTGGCTATATTTGGATGAACAGATATTTATTGCCGAAATTTGAGCAGATTAATAATTGTGAATACCTTCTGAAGTTAAGCATAACTTTTGGTGATATACACTTGATATTTGCAGATTAATTAGATTTACTGAAATATCATGCATAGATTCAAAAACTAAGTGATAAGAATCACATACGCAATCGAAATTTTTCGCATAAGTAGTAATGCTGATGTCAATAAGCGTAAATGACAAAACTACTGGTTTCTAATAGTAGCAGGTCAATTAAAAATCGATTTATACAAACCAATGAACAAAATCTTCACTTCTCATGTTGTCATCGCTTCACATTCACAGGTACTCAATTTCCGCTTTGCTAAAGTTATTGGTTGGATATAGAAATTTATGTGTCTAATGATGAAATAGTTTAATTTATTTTTATAACCTAACTTAATGAAGCATAAATGCATAACGGAAATTAAACATAAAATAGGGAACTGTGACAAAAGCTTATTTGCAAATTATCTAAGAATGTTTTGATATGCAAATAGCATTCCTATAACTAGATGCTTTTCATGTTTCACATATTTTCTCTTTGCATAATGAACTTTGAATATTAATAATGATGAAAAAAGCTATAAATTTGGAAGTCGACTTACGTCGATGATGCAGCAAAAGAGCGTTATAGCACTAGATATTTACATATATATATATATAGATATTGACAGCTCTGAAATGCATAGAGAATAGATATTATACAGCTAGATATTGTTCAGTAAACTATTCAAGGTTAATGGGTGAAATTCGCACATCGATACCCCCAGTTCGAAATCCCCACCGAGGTCTTACGTATCATAAAATCTATTAACACTGAGAAAAGTGTCACTAAATGTCCTGAAAGTGTAAACACGCTTTACGACTAACTAGCTCATATATATATATATGTATCCAGACTAAATTGATGTGTGATAAAAGTGAAATGAAATTTTGAGAGCAATTAAAAAGAAGAAATGAAACATTTTTGGAATTGTGGGGAAAGCAAGTTGATAAGGAGAAGAGAATGTTTAAAGATGAATTCAAGTACAGGCTGAAGTCATTTAAAGAACCTCTAAGAGATGGAAATTGCTGGGAATCTACAACATTTCTGTTGGCAAATCACTAGTGGGCAATCGTAGTTCTGTAAAGAATCGCAACAAGAAAAGTCGTGTTGGCTGGCAACCATGTTTCATTTTAGCCAATATATCATTTTTTTGATAAATTATATGTCTTCAGCATCTAACATGAATTTATGAAATTTGTCCATCAGTTAAATGCTGTAACTTGTCTTGATCAGTCACACACATCTTTGCCTGGCACTCACACAATTGATCATCTGTCTAATTTCGTAAGTCAGACTCAAACTGAAACCCTAACATCCTGATACTGTACATTTTAAAATGGTTTTATCGATCGAAACACCAACTTGTAGCTGGAAGTTTCACAAAAACACTGGGAACGACAAATAATAATTGAACCAGTTTAATAATGATGTAGGAAAATGATTAGCGAAGTAAACATGAATGAATCACAATGCTATTCTGAGTCATTGTTGGATGTACAGCTGTTTCATTGGTTGATTGTGAGTTTAAATATGCAGTAAATACCTAATCCAGCACCACTTATCGTACAGTTTTTCTAATTAAGTACTTTGCTTATTTATTAGGGTAGCATATTTAAAGACATAAGTTGTTATCTTTCTTTTTAATGTCAGAAAAAAATTAACAGTAAAGGTCTCATACGATATGAAAGGCGTAAAGAGGTCTTGTTTGACAGTTTTCTAGTATCTCTCATGTTTTAATAGTAAATAACAGAATCTGATCTCAGACTACTTGGTAAGAACACTTGTTAGCTATTAAACCTTACGTTTAGAAGCCTAAAGCAAGTTCTTTGTCTTCATTTATAGAATTCCAAGCACTTAGTGATAAACAAGGTCAAGAGTAATGCTTTCATCGTATTAAATTATCGGAAGACATCATTGAGTATTTTTGACTTGTTGACTTAATCTAGTTAATCGCATCTTTCTTTATACTGCTTAAAGTAGGATAATAGTGGACTAAAATAATTTACCAAGATTATTATTGTCACAACTTTGAGTAAAACAGTTTCAAATTTCAAAAACTACACATATTTACTCAGGATTTTGATGACCAATTGGTTCAATAAAAATTTTCTATATGAAATCCAGGTTTGATGAATTCTAATGTCCGCTAATATCTAAAACCAAAAGTAGACTCAGGTTTCATTCTAATCAACAGATTTTTAAAAAAATTATTTTTTGAAGTAGGATTACTTGATTTTTTATCTTCAGTCAGAATTATGTCACGGTTTCCCTAGCAAAACAATGGATAGAGCTAAGGGCAAGCCTAGGAATTAGTAGCCTACTCGTTAACAAAGTAAATCCTATTGAAATTTTCGTTTGATGTCGAATTTATGTATTGCCTGTAAGATAAGTTTTACTGAAGACAGGACTTGTTAGATTTAGTTGACCCTCATGATGACTCTGGCAAGTTAGACATTAGGGATATGTAAACGTGCCATTTGGCTGACCTATACAGTCTTGACTATCTAGTTGTTTTAATTAACTTAGTTACACTATTGAACGGCTGATTTGAATACTTTGTATGAATCAAAGAACAAAATATTTAACTCTTTCCACTCTACTTTCAGTAAGCAGTAGTCAAGCAAAACAGTTCATGAACACAAAAGCGTGTACTTCTATTTTTGCTTTTATACATCTCAGAAAAAGATGTCCTTATAACAGAAGACTACCAATGCTAATCAGTAATGTATCCGGTCTAATCTCTTCATGTTGGTGATGATCATGATCATATATAAAAGTGTGTTAGAGTTTTCATAATTACTACCAATGAAAGGAAGTCGCTAGCCATCTTCAGATGGTCAGAGAGAGAAAGAGGTAGACAAAGGATGGTTGAAAATTGCTGCAAACTCGTTTTTAGTTCTACAGATATTCCATAAAGGTCAGGCATCATCATCATCATCATCTAATTTATATTGTCTGAAAAATTAGCGTATGATTTTGATTCATGTAGTGTGCACATGTGGGTATGTATGTACATTTCATTTGTGCAGAAATATGTAAGTAAAGGCATTAACTTCACAATTCATTATCAAAATCATCTTCTGGAAGCATCATCAATAAATATATACCGAAAACGTTTCGGGTGTCTATCTGAGTTCTGTGACTAGTTTTACGCATTAAATTATGAAAGGAATTATTTAAAGCAGAAGACTTAAGGAATGCAAACTAAAAGGTAAGTTTACAACAAACAGCCTTGGTGCAGTTGAGTTAGAGGTTGGGCGTCAGTGGAATCCAAGACGCATGTTTCGTTCTATTCGAAACTAGTCGGTTGGACGTAACTGCACCTCAGTGAGTGATGCCAAGAGAGGTTGATAAGTTTGGTCCAGTATAATAACGGGAAATTACAAGTAAAGATAAAACATCGACTCAATTTATTAAATGAGAAGGGTGATGTCGTTCTATAAGAATGCTATATTGGAGATTGATAAAAGGAAGTCGCTACAAAGATTTTCAGGCTACGAACAAAACTAATCAGTAATATTAGAAACTGCTCGATTAACAGAAAAATTCGGTTGATGCTTCTTAGGATACTAGATATAGTTTTAATGCACTTTGTAAACCTATGTTGGTTCAGAGTAGCGTAGTTTTGTTATTTTGTTGTCTTGCTTACAGTTTTCCTATAGAAAATGGTTTGGTTTTAATGACTGACTATCAGAGTCTACAGATTCATCAGACATTCACAATCTATGAATACAAAACCTATCTTCAAAGTCAACGCAAATCTGTATTCAAAGTTTGTACTGTTTGTGAATTACTGATAAGAATCCATTGACACTGCAACATGTCGTCACAGTCTTGAAGCAAAACAGCACAGCTGGTCATCCTGATTATAACACGTTATAGATGCAGCAGGAAAGTACTTATTATTATTCTGAGAAGAGTAGTTATTTTAATCTTAGACATTTGAGTAACAGTGTGCTGAACAGAAACAACAGGGGACAATGACTGATAAATTTTTAGGATTCGAATGTTTAAAGTGATTGCTAGGGTGTTATAAGAGCAACACAGTGTAACATAACATATTTGAAGTACTTCGTTCTCAGAGGATATTGTTTTTATATTTACCCACCTGAATTCTAAGGTTAGACAAACTTGTGACTATTTTTCAGTGCAGTCGATTCAAGTAATGTAGGAAACTCTGCAATATTATCAAAGACAAATTCAGTTTAGTCCGACTTTAAATGATATATTTTGTTTGTTTACTTGACAGTAACCAGTGTCACGTTGTTTAGTCCCAGATGCCGACTGAACTGTATCGACTACTTTACAGTGTAGTTAGGAAAGTAAGTATTACGGTAGACTTTGATTGAAGTGAAGTGATTCTTCAGGAAGCCCAACCATTTACCTCCAACCACCCAACATTCTCATCATATAAGATACACCCCAGGTTAGCTGGACAGCACTTAATGTCAAGCGTGAAAGTATAGTTGTTCCACACTATGAAAGAAATTTCATTTAGTTGGTTGAGAGAACGTCAAAATTAAAAAGACAAATCCTATTAAATTACTTGACTATAAATAAATATTCACTGTACATATATTAGGAACTAACCAACTGATTGCAAAGTGCAGAAACTTACAGTTTTTGTTTCATTTCACCTCAATATAAACGCATAATCATTACAGAAAATTTTTTAAAAGTTTTTGTATACTCAAGTTTCTTAGTTATCCACCATTTTCACCTAGATATAAATATAAAACACAAAGATATTTGTGATATACACGATTGCATTGTTTATATGATGAAAATCTTGTTAGAGATATTAACCTACTGAATAAGTAGTTGGAGTCTGTTAACGAATAACAATGGATTCCAGTCTACATCACTAAAGTGTGTACATAGTTTGAGAAATACAATGACTGTTACTTTGTTCATACATGAATCAACCATCTGTCATTTGAAAAACCAGAGGTATCCTGTATTTTCTGTCTTTCAGCTAGCCCACAAAAAGTTGCACATACTTGAGATGGAAAATCACTTCGGAAATGTGTAACAATCAGAATTAAAATTCCTTATCTTTCAAAGCACCACACACATTTATGCCGATGGTGGGTAGTCAGTCACAGTGTCATTAGGTCTTCAGGATAACATGTCTGCTTTAGAAAAGCTATCTCAGTAAAATAACGTATATGCTTATCTTATGAAAATCTATTCAGTGGAGCTTCTCGACTTTGTTCAATACTTTCAGTACCTCACTAATCACACCATCTTTAATAGTACTTGTAAATAAAGTAATACTGTCTGAAGTATTACATCGTTATAGATCATCAGAGATTTTGAAATGAATAAAACACATTGATATTGGTTTGTAGAACTCTTGTTCTTCTTAATATATTGGAAGTTAGCACATTTCGTTGAATTGTTTTCATTGCAGCATAAGATTCATTATTTGATGTGTTACGATTTCATGAGATAAATTTAAACTTCTAAGTTAAGAGAAATATCTGCCAGGTGGTAAATAAATTACCACAGGCTAAAAAATGATTTCATTTCTGCTTATCAGCGTATTTATATGTGTTTAGAAATTGCAGGGATTTACTCATTGGTTGGTCACTGCAGACTCACCGTTTTTATATCATCCAACTGACCGAATTCCATTGGTCATTTCGTGACGTAGTCACCAAGCTAAGAAACCCAGTGACACAGTGCATTACAAATGTTATAAGATGGTTGAAAAAAGTTGGTATGAAGCCCCCGGGCTTAGGTTTAGTGTCTGTTGGCACTCATATGCGACCTGAGTAGCTCAGTATTAAGACACTAGATTCCAGCACTGATTGGTGAGAGTTTGAATCCCTCAGGAAACCCAGGAGCCTTTGTAATTGTACAGACACTGAGTTGGCTATCAGGAAGCAGGCAATCTAAGTCCAGGGTTTCATGTAAATTACCTTTAACTAACTCACATGTTCACCCATGCATTTGTGTATGATGGAAAATAGAAACAATTTCAAAGAATCCAAGGTAAACTAAATGATGAACTGTTTATTCAATCTTGGCAGGTTACGTCAAGACAAGCAGCCACAGATACGGATAAAAAGATGTAGGGAAATTATATGGTGCATTGAAATCTTAGGATTTTAGGTCATAAATTGATACTACTAAACAAAACTCTTAATAGACAAATATATGGTGATTTTTCAAATTAGTCAGATCACACATTCTGTTTGTATCGTTTATCTAGGCCCTTGAGAGGTTTGCATATGTGTGCTAGTTTGCATTCTTGTTTGAAGACTTATATCAGCATGAATATGCTCATACTTTTCAGTAAGCTGGTAAAAGTAATCAGATATTTCATCGTCCTTTTTCTTTGTCTGATTGGTTTTACTAATTGAATTACAAAGACAAAAGTTGGAATAATTTTTAGATATTCTGCATGTAACAAGAGAAATTCGCAATCGATTAAATGAAAGGATACTGCATATCTAGTAGTCAGCTGAAACTTATTATGAAAAAGACAATAACAGCACAAGATAAATTGTTGTCACTAATTCAATCCTGTTTCACTTTTTCATTACAAATGCAAAAATACTCGCACGGAAAAAGCTGTTTCGATTGTTGCAGAGTTTCTTAGTTCGAAGAAAATTGTTAAAAGTTCACATGGACACAATAAACATCGGATTTTCAACGAATTGTGGAAGCTGTATACTCCATCTGTTGATATGACAAAGCAAACAGTGACACACTAGTATTTACTGGGTGGCGTTCCAATTACCGTTGGTATACTACTTAAGACAAACGAACATCAAACACTTAGAATTCTGACTTGCATTACACAAAGTCTGCATGAAAAGAGTCGAAAGGAGAAATATTTTACGCTCTGTATTGCATGTGATCAGTTGTTTTAAAGATAAGTAGTACAGGATAAAAGTAAGATGCACATAGAATTTGTGTCAACAATGATATCATTGTGTTTCATGGACACAAATGTAGTTTCTCACTGGTGTTTATTCAACTTAATGTAGTGTAAAATGAATTTAGTTTCGAGTAGTTAGTTCCATATATTACTGGACATAACTCAAATGATGCTTATACTGACCACTTTCTTACAGGTCATATTCCATTTTGTTATATTTTCAAATGAGTGTTCATACTGCCATAATATGTGGATGAAATATTCCTCTTCTTCTCATATTCTCCGATTCATGGCCATCTAGGAAAGACAATACGTTGCCTTGGTAGTTCACTTCTGACTCTCTTCAGACAAGTAATTATCCTTATATTTATCCTTCTCTTTATCGATTCATTTTTTACTCACTTTTTATTCGCTCGATTTGTTCCTTAGTTACTAACGAATTGAAACATTGAGTATTCACTATAATCTATTCGACGATTTCGCACTGTGCATACAACTTTTCCTGAATATTGTTATGGTAGTATGAATGATTGTAACTTCTCAAATTTATTCCGTGCATTGAAACTATTATTACAGCACACTGGCTTTGAAAAACTGACTATATTTAACTATGTTTTAAATTGCTGATACTCATTTATACCGGGTGTATAAACGTTTTCGGAGATGTTTTCTTGACAGAAAGCAAACTAGTAAGCTTTATTATGACTCAACTAGCAGTCAGTCTTTACAAAACTCACTCCATCAGCAGTCGTACCTCAGCTTTCGCCGGATACGGGTTTTGAGTTTCTTGTGATCAAATTTATTTGAATGAAAACTGCTTTCCATGACAGTTTGTGCTTCACTTCTCATTGCTGTCATATTTCACAGAGATCAATATTAATGCCGCAACTGTGGTAGCAGAGCCAATTTTAAGTCTGCTGATTGCACCACGTAGTTTTGAATATAATTATCGTATGGAATGGCTTTTAATGAAACTCAGAAGTTTAGGTTTTATTCCACACTGCTTCATGAAGTTAATTCCTAATTCAATAAATCAGATATCCCCAAATAATACATAAACATATCAAACTTTTAAGTTGTACCGTCATCTGATTGGTTACAGAAACCATCAGTTAACGCTAGTATCATATAATGAGTCGAAGATGCATATGACAACTCCGTTCGTACAGTCAAGTTTCGATATGCTATCTTCATGCATATTACCTTCAACCACCTGTAAAGTTAACTCTATTTAGTATCTCACTTTAAGTGAAAGTATGTTTCAGCATGTTTAATCATTCCTGGCAAAATTTTACCCAGTGCACTACAAGTATTCAGCGTTACATACATATATATCTTGTATTTGGCGGACTGCCTGGAAGTTATTACGGGATAAATTTCATCAGACTGCTAATTTTTTCTTGTCTTATTGAAGTGTGAATGAATCGTGAAATGTACTATAGAGCATTCTTAAAATGCGTTAGACCATTTATTAATGCAGTTGAGATAATATCATGGTAGATGGCAGTGGGCTTCTGAGCGCACAACAGTACATCATATACCTATTACAGGATTAGTTGGCTGGAACTGGAAATTTTAAGGCTGATGGGATGAACCTCCATTAACAAACTTACGGGTGCATTTCTGTTCGTTGCCCCATGCAACGACGTACTTACAAACTGGACGATGACCTAAAAATTAGTCACCGTGTATTATTGTTTATCATGCTGTTAATAATAACCTTATTCGATTGCCATGATCATTTAATTTGAAAATATTGTACAAGGAATAAATCTGTTGAAATGTTACACCAAGAGCTCCATAGAAATTTTTGTCCAGAATAAAGTTATTTTTATTATCTTTATTGGATGAGACACAAACAAACACTTGTTGACTGTGATCAAATAAGCACTCTAAATGCATTAGTAATTTTCCATCAAATAAAGGTGAGTAAAATCATGCTCTTAGATTTTCTGCTATGACTTATCATCAGATCCAATCTTAAAAAAATATACTACAGTAACATCAAATTAATGTTTGTCAGGCAGTATTTTGAGTCTTGTGAAAATGTATTCAAGCCTTAAATCATTTTGGCGCCAGTTTTTAAAGTAAATTAATTGATAATCAGGATGTAATCAGACACAAAACGGTGAATCAAAACAATGTATTGGTAGGAATTTAGGTGCCATAAGATCGAATTACTTATGAATATTTAAGCTTAAACACTTGTTTTGTAGATAAAACAATAGATTCTCAGACCATATCACTTGTGTCTCTCATACTAAAAAGAATATGCAGGACACACAGTCTGCGACATAGACAGTGAAAACAGGAAATTTTAACCGGAAACCGAATGTAAATAAATGCATGATTAATGTGCATAAACGGGCCACCTACGCGTTCATTATGAATCATTATTGAATTCGGAGACATTTTAACAATCAGAGTTCCAAAGGACATTGTTTAATCAAAATGCTGTGAAATATAATTCCTTTAACTTAAGTGGTTGCTTTCTTTCTGTCATTCTAACAGTTTAGCCAACACTTCTCAGCTTTCACAGTATGCTATCTCTGTCAGTAATTTTAACGACATGAATTTACGTTTATTGAAATCTGCAGAGCACTAATTTCATGACCGAATCAATGCATCAATGAAAGACATATTCCAGCAAATGTTTGATTGGAAAGTCAAACAAATATGGACATAAAATTAGATAACATAAGAAAGCGATTTCCAAAAGCTGGTGCAACTTTAGTTTCAGTCA